CCCGCTGGCGTTGGCTGTGTGAGTCACCGACAGTCCGAGCTGCAGTGTGCCGTGGTGAGGGGACCAATCCCAGACCAGTCAGTGTGCCACCGTACCACCAATCACCGCCTGGAGGTGTCACCTGACCAAGGAGGTGGAGGAGTGGGCGGGGCTGCCATGTGGCTGCAACAAAGAGTACCTGTATTAGGACAGGGGATCCAAGTTTAATACAAGTTTACTTTTTTAAATCACCTTTTCTGTCAATTTTTCAATAGCATATTATTTTTCCTTTCGTCAGTCTGCTGATTAAGGGGGGGGGGGGGGTGTGTGATTCCCCATGTATAATACATAAGGGGGGGGTATGATCTCCATGTATAATACATAAGGGGGGGATATGATCTCCATGTATAATACATAAGGGGGGGATATGATCTCCATGTATAATACATAAGGGGGGATATGATCTCCATGTATAATAATACATTAAGGGGGGGGATATGATCCCCATGTATAATACATAAGGGGGGATATGATCTCCATGTATAATACATAAGGGGGGATATGATCTCCATGTATAATACATAAGGGGGGATATGATCTCCATGTATAATACATAAGGGGGATATGATCTCCATGTATAATACATAAGGGGGGGGATATGATCTCCATGTATAATACATAAGGGGGGATATGATCTCCATGTATAATACATAAGGGGGGATATGATCTCCATGTGGGATATGATCTCCATGTATAATACATAAGGGGGGATATGATCTCCATGATCTCCATGTATAATACATAAGGGGGGATATGATCTCCATGTATAATACATAAGGGGGGATATGATCTCCATGTATAATACATAAGGGGGGGATATGATCTCCATGTATAATACATAAGGGGGGATATGATCTCCATGTATAATACATAAGGGGGGGGGGGATATGATCTCCATGTATAATACATAAGGGGGGGGATATGATCTCCATGTATAATACATAAGGGGGATATGATCTCCATGTATAATACATAAGGGGGGATATGATCTCCATGTATAATACATAAGGGGGGATATGATCTCCATGTATAATACATAAGGGGGATATGATCTCCATGTATAATACATAAGGGGGGGATATGATCTCCATGTATAATACATAAGGGGGGATATGATCTCCATGTATAATACATAAGGGGGGGGATATGATCTCCATGTATAATACATAAGGGGGGATATGATCTCCATGTATAATAATACATAAGGGGGGATATGATCTCCATGTATAATACTCCATGTATAATACATAAGGGGGGGATATGATCTCCATGTATAATACATAAGGGGGGGATATGATCTCCATGTATAATACATAAGGGGGGGATATGATCTCCATGTATAATACATAAGGGGGGATATGATCTCCATGTATAATACATAAGGGGGGATATGATCTCCATGTATAAATACATAAGGGGGGATATGATCTCCATGTATAATACATAAGGGGGATATGATATGATCTCCATGATATGATATCCATGTATACATAAGGGGGGGATATGATCTCCATGTATAATACATAAGGGGGGGATATGATCTCCATGTGTATAATATACATAAGGGGGGATATGATCTCCATGTATAATACATAAGGGGGGGATATGATCTCCATGTATAATACATAAGGGGGGATATGATCTCCATGTATAATACATGGGGGGGATATGATCTCCATGTATAATACATAAGGGGGGATATGATCTCCATGTATAATACATAGGGGGGGGATATGATCTCCATGTATAATACATAAGGGGGGGGATATGATCTCCATGTATATAATACATAAGGGGGGGGATATGATCTCCATGTATAATACATAAGGGGGGATATGATCTCCATGTATAATACATAAGGGGGGATATGATCTCCATGTATAATACATAAGGGGGGGGATATGATCTCCATGTATAATACATAAGGGGGGATATGATCTCCATGTATAATACATAAGGGGGGATATGATCTCCATGTATAATACATAAGGGGGGATATGATCTCCATGTATAATACATAAGGGGGGATATGATCTCCATGTATAATACATAAGGGGGGGATATGATCTCCATGTATAATACATAAGGGGGATATGATCTCCATGTATAATACATAAGGGGGGATATGATCTCCAGTATAATACATAAGGGGGATATGATCTCCATGTATAATACATAAGGGGGGATATGATCTCCATGTATAATACATAAGGGGGATATGATCTCCATGTATAATACATAAGGGGGGATATGATCTCCATGTATAATACATAAGGGGGGATATGATTCTCCATGTATAATAATACATAAGGGGGGGGATATGATCTCCATGTATAATACATAAGGGGGATATGATCTCCATGTATAATACATAAGGGGGGATATGATCTCCATGTATAATACATAAGGGGGGGATATGATCTCCATGTATAATACATAAGGGGGGATATGATCTCCATGTATATAATACATAAGGGGGGATATGATCTCCATGTATAATACATAAGGGGGGATATGATCTCCATGTATATAATACATAAGGGGGGGATATGATCTCCATGTATAATACATAAGGGGGGATATGATCTCCATGTATAATACATAAGGGGGGATATGATCTCCCATGTATAATACATAAGGGGGGATATGATCTCCATGTATAATACATAAGGGGGGGGGGATATGATCTCCATGTATAATACATAAGGGGGGTTATGATCTCCATGTATAATACATAAGGGGGATATGATATGATCTCCATGTATAATACATAATAAGGGGGGATATGATCTCCATGTATAATACATAAGGGGGGGATATGATCTCCATGTATAATACATAAGGGGGGGATATGATCTCCATGTATAATACATAAGGGGGGATATGATCTCCATGTATAATACATAAGGGGGGATATGATCTCCATGTATAATACATAAGGGGGGGATATGATCTCCATGTATAATACATAAGGGGGGATATGATCTCCATGTATATACATAAGGGGGGGATATGATCTCCATGTATAATACATAAGGGGGGATATGATCTCCATGTATAATACATAAGGGGGGATATGATCTCCATGTATTATACATAAGGGGGGATATGATGATCTCCATGTAATAATAATAAGGGGGGGATATGATCTCCATGTATAATACATAAGGGGGGATATGATCTCCATGTATAATACATAAGGGGGGATATGATCATCCATGTATAATACATAAGGGGGGGGATATGATCTCCATGTATAATACATAAGGGGGGATATGATCTCCATGTATAATACATAGGGGGGGGATATGATCTCCATGTATAATACATAAGGGGGGGATATGATCTCCATGTATAATACATAAGGGGGGATATGATCTCCATGTATAATACTACATAAGGGGGATATGATCTCCATGTATAATACATAAGGGGGGGATATGTATCTCAATGTATAATACATAAGGGGGATATGATCTCCATGTATAATACATAAATATGATCTCCATGTATAATACATAAGGGGGATATGATTCTCCATGTACAATACATAAGGGGGGATATGATCTCAATGTATCAATACATCAGGGGGGATATGATCTCCATCGTTATAATAATACATAAGGGGGGATATGAGCTCCATGTTAATACATAAGGGGGGATATGATCTCCATGTATAATTACATAAGGGGGGGATATGATTCCTCCATGATAATACATAAGGGGGGCTTGCTGACCTCCATGTATAATACATAAGGGGGGATATTGTGATGCGTCTCTGTGACGAATTTCCTTCCATTCTCTGTGATCTGCAGTGACTTATATTCTATGGATGTGAAATAATTGCAACATTACAGCAGCAAATCGCAGGTGAAGACGCCGGACATTCGCATACTATGATTGGGCGCTGAGATGGCGGGGACATGAATGTCGGTCTTACACATGAAATTGCTATAAACCCGCCCTAACGATCATCTGGGGAAGAGTCGGACGAATTCCCCCCCCCCCCCCCCCATCAGCCCTCTCATGTTGTCACCCCCCCCCCCCTCATGTCACCCGCCCGGTATTCTGAGTAATCAGTCGGGTTTCTGTACCTCCTTATATGGTGCGCACTTCCTGCCTCTGTGCGAAGCTCCGCCCACCCTGACAGTTTCTGTATTAGAACTTCTTCCTGGGGCTTTTTCTGGGCGGAGTCAGTCTGTGATTTTCCTTGTGGGGGGGGGATCCAAATAACGGGGAATGTTCATTCGAATGGTTTCTTCTGTCTGAATCATTCTGTTTATTCCTTTCAAACTTTCATTCTTCTGTTTCCTTTAACATTCGGGGTCTCCAAACCTTCAAAAAACAAGGGGCCAGTCACATCAGACTGGGGGGGGGGGTCCATGTTTGGGGCCCAGACCAGGGGGGGGGGGGGGGGGCGGTCTGTGAGAGTAGAAATTGTCCCAGTTCCTTTGGTGGCATTGGAACAACACAATGCTGGTGTCAGTGGGAGAATAGTGCCCCATCATTGGTGTCAGTGGGAGGAATAGTGTCCCATGAAATTGGTGTCAGTGGGGGGAATAGTGCCCCATCATTGGTGTCAGTGGGGGGAATGCAGTGTCCCATCATTGGTGTCAGTGGGAGGAATAGTGCCCCATCATTGGTGTCAGTGTGGAGGAAGTTAGTGCCCACATCATTCGGTGTCAGTGGGAGGAATAGTGCCCCATCATTGGAATGTCAGTGGGGGGAATAGTGCCCCATCATTGGTGTCAGTGGGGAGGAATAGCGCCCCATCATTGGTGTCAGTGGAGGAATTGGTAGCGCCCCATCATTGGTGTCAGTGGGAGGAATGGCGCCCCATCATTGGTGTCAGTGGGAGGAATAGTGCCCCATCATTGGTGTCAGTGGAAGGAATAGCGCCCCATCATTGGTGTCAGTGGGAGGAATAGTGCCCCATCATTGGTGTCAGTGGGAGGATATAGTGCCCCATCATTGGTGTCAGTGGGAGGAATAGTGCCCCATCATTGGTGTCAGTGGGAGGAATAGCGCCCCATCATTGGTGTCAGTGGGGGGAATAGTGTCCCCATCATTGGTGTCTGGTGGGAGGAATAGTCCCCATCATTGGTGTCGGTGGGAGGAATAGTGCCCCATCATTGGTGTCAGTGGGAGTGGGAATAGTGTCCCATCATTGGTGTCAGTGGGAGGAATAGTGCCCCATCATTGGTGTCAGTGGGGGGAATAGTGCCCCATCATTGGTGTCAGTGGGAGGAATAGTGTCCCATCATTGGTGTCAGTGGGAGGAATAGTGTCCCATCATTGGTGTCAATGGGAGGAATAGTGCCCCATCATTGGGTGTCAGTGGGTGGGAATAGTGCCCCATCATTGGTGTCAGTGGAGGAATAGTGTCCCATCATTGGTGTCAGTGGGGGGAATAGTGTCCCATCATTGGTGTCAGTGGGAGGAATAGTGTCCCATCATTGGTGTGTCAGTGGGAGGAATAGTGCCCCATCATTGGTGTCAGTGGGAGGAATAGTGTCCCATCATTGGTGTCAATGGGAGGAATAGTGTCCCATCATTGGTGTCAGTGGGAGGAATAGTGCGCCTATCATTGGTGTCAGGGGGAGGAATAGTGCCCCCATCATTGGTGTCAGTGGGGGGAATAGTGCCCCATCATTGGTGTCAGTGGGGGGAATAGTGCCCCATCATTGGTGTCAGTGGGAGGAATAGTGCCCCATCATTGGTGTCAGTGGGAGGAATAGTGCCCCATCATTGGTGTCAGTGGGAGGAATAGTGCCCCATCATTGGTGTCAGTGGGAGGAATAGCGCCCCATCATTGGTGTCAGTGGGGGGAATAGTGCCCCCATCATTGGTGTCAGTGGGAGGAATAGTGCCCCATCATTGGGTGTCAGTGGGAGGAATAGTGCCCCATCGTTGGTGTCAGTGGGAGGAATAGCGTCCCATCATTGGTGTCAGTGGGAGGAATAGTGCCCCATCGTTGGTGTCAGTGGGAGGAGGAATAGCGTCCCATCATTGGTGTCAGTGGGAGGAATAGTGCCCCATCGTTGGTGTCAGTAAGGATGTGGTGCCGGTATTTGGGGTTCCGGAGGGGCATTGATCTCATGCAGTCTCGATCGGATGGATGGTTCTTCTCTAGCGTTGCACATTCACTGAACATTCTAGGTGATGATGTTGGAGGGAGGGGGTCACACTTGGGCCCCCCTATAAGCTTCCCCCCCCCCACCCCCCCCCCCCCCCCCCCACCCACTATTAGGATTTCCTGTAAGGCTGTGAATCTGCTGACACCATATAAATCTGTATAATAATAATGAACCCCAAAGATCCCCGACGTTCCATCTCACCGATCTGTAGACGTGGCGGCTGCATTCGTTTTCTTTTTTAGTCTTTTTCCCCTCTGCTCTCACCTGGTGTGGATCGGCCGGGCCAGTAAACCCCTCCTGTATTAGAGCGCCCCCCCCCCCTCTGGAGGAAGGAGCACAGGGGGCACATCATTGTCAGTCTGGGGGGAGGGGGAGCATTAGATGGACTAGCAGATTTAAATACACTAACAAACTGAAGCCAAACTCCGGCTGACACTTTATAATCCGTCAGTTTTGTTCCTTTCGGGATGAAGGTTTTCCATCAATAAATAAAAGCTGATCTTTGTAAGCACCCTGTCAGTGGGAAATGGTTTGCCTCATCCCTCTAACTGATACATCTGCAGGACAGCTTGTTCCAATGAAAAACAGACTTACTGGCCGGATCACCAAGTGAAAATAGAAGAAATAAAGGCTGAAAGAAAACGAATGCGGCCGCCACATCTAAGAATTGCTGTTTCCTTTGTTCCCCTCCCCAGAGTTCGGTCCGCTCAGATTTTGCGCTGTCGCAGCTGGAAACATTCGGGGCTCATTACACATCCATATTGGTTCCCCACGCATGACAACGCATGTTACTGCAACACATGACAACGCATGTTACTGCAACACATGACAACGCATGTTACTGCAACACATGACGCATCGCATTGCTGTGCACTCTGAATGTGCTGCAACCAGTGACAACGCCTGGCCCAGCACACCGCAGCAAAGTGCATCACAAATCAAAGGTCCCGTCTGGCTTGTGGTCATCGGGTGCAGCGGCAGGCTGTTCATGTGTATGGGCCACGGCGCACCGCATGACACGCCGCATGTTACTGCACCGCATGACGCAACACGCATGTTACTGCAACGCATGACGCACCGCATGTTACTGCACCACATGACACACCGCATGTTACTGCACCGCATGACACACCGCATGTTACTGCACCGCATGACGCAACATGTTACTGCACCGCATGACGCAACACGTTACTGCAACGCATGACGCACTGCATGTTACTGCACCGCATGACACACCGCATGTTACTGCACCGCATGACGCACCGCACGTTACTGCACCGCATGACACACCGCATGTTACTGCACCGCATGACACACCGCATGTTACTGCACCACATGACACACCGCATGTTACTGCACCGCATGACACACCGCATGTTACTGCACTGCATGACACGCCGCATGTTACTGCACTGCATGACACGCCGCATGTTACTGCACCGCATGACACACCGCATGTTACTGCACCGCATGACACACCGCATGTTACTGCACCGCATGACACACCGCATGTTACTGCACCGCATGACGCAGCACGTTACTGCAACGCATGACGCACCGCATGTTACTGCACCGCATGACGCAACACGTTACTGCAACGCATGACACACCGCATGTTACTGCACCGCATGTTACTGCAACACATTACTGCAACACATGACGCAACACGTTACCGCACTGCATGACACACCGCATGTTACTGCACCGCATGTTACTGCACCGCATGACACACCGCATGTTACTGCACCGCATGACGCCCCGCATGTTACTGTACCGCATGACACACCGCATGTTACTGCACCGCATGACGCACCGCATGTTACTGCACCGCATGACACACCGTATGTTACTGCACCGCATTTTACTGCACCGCATGTTACTGCACCACATGATGCAACACGTTACTGCAACGCATGACACACCACATGTTACTGCACCACATGACATACCGCATGTTACTGCACCGCATGACACACCGCATGTTACTGCACCGCATGACACACCACATGTTACTGCACCGCATGACACACCGCATGTTACTGCACCGCATGACACACCGCATGTTACTGCACCGCATGACACACCACATGTTACTGCACCGCATGACACACCGCATGTTACTGCACCGCATGACACACCGCATGTTACTGCACCGCATGACGCACCGCATGTTACTGCACCGCATGACACACCGGGTTACTGTACTGCACCGCATGTTACTGCACCGCATGACACACCGCATGTTACTGCACCGCATGACGTTACTGCACACGCACCGCATGTTACTGTTGGGTGAATTACGCAATGAGGGTTGACCGCACCGTGGTTGTATGTTACTTTGCAGGGTTGTGTTATTGGATGCAACACTTTTGCAACGCATGGACACACCCGCATGTTACTGCACCGCATGCAACACATTACATTGTTGTTGGGGGACGCAACATGTTTTACCGCATGTTTGACACACCGTTGTTACTGCACCATGCATGTTACTGTTGCAACGTGTTACTGCACCGCATGACACACCGCATGTTACTGCACCGCATGTTACGTTACTGCAACCGCATGACGCACCGCATGTTACTGCACCGCATGTTACACATGACGCACCGCATGTTTACGCATGCACGTTACTGCAACGCATGACACACCGCATGTTACTGCACCGCATGTTACTGCAACCCACATTACTGCACACACCGCAACATGTTACTGCATGACAACCGCATGTTACTGCACCGCATGACTGCACCGCATGACTGCACCGCATGTTACTGCACCGCATGACGCACCCGCATGTTACTGCACCGCATGACACACCATGTTACTGCACCGCATGACGCACCGCATGTTACTGCACCAGGCATGACACACCGTATGTTACTGCACCGCATTTTACTGCACCGCATGTTACTGCACCACATGATGCAACACGTTACTGCAACGCATGACACACACCACATGTTACTGCACCACATGACATACCGCATGTTACTGCACCGCATGACACACCGCATGTTACTGCACTGCATGACACACCGCATGTTACTGCACCGCATGCATGACACACCGCATGTTACTGCACCGCATGACACAACACATGTTACTGCACCGCATGACACACCGCATGTTACTGCACCGCATGACACACCGCATGTTACTGCACCGCATGACACACCCTCATGTTACTGCACCGCATGACACACCGCATGTTTACTGCACCGCATGACACACCGCATGTTACTGCACCGCATGACACACCACATGTTACTGCACCGCATGACGCACCGCATGTTACTGCACCGCATGACACACCGCATGTTACTGTACCGCATGACGCACCGCATGTACTACTGCACCGCATGACACACCGCATGTTACTGCACCGCATGACGCAGCACGTTACTGCAACGCATGACGCACCGCATGTTACTGCACCGCATGACGCAACATGTTACCGCACCGCATGTTTACTGCACCGCATGACGCAACACGTTACTGCAACGCATGACACACACCGCATGTTACTGCACCGCATGTTACTGCAACACATTACTGCAACACATGACGCAACACGTTACCGCACTGCATGACACACCGCATGTTACTGCACCGCATGTTACTGCACCGCATGACACCACCGCATGTTACTGCACCGCATGACGCCCGGCATGTTACTGTACCGCATGACACACCGCATGTTACTGCACCGCATGACGCACCGCATGTTACTGCACCGCATGACACACCGTATGTTACTGCACCGCATTTTACTGCACCGCATGTTACTGCACCACATGATGCAACACGTTACTGCAACGCATGACACACCACATGTTACTGCACCACATGACATACCGCATGATGCAAAATGTTACTGCAACGCATGTTACTGCACCGCATGTTACTGCACCGCATGACGCACCGCCTGTTCCTCACTGCATGATGGAACACATTACTGCAACGCATGACGCAGCGCATGTAACAATATCACAGGAATGGCAATGGGCCCGGAACCTGTTCCAGAAGGAAGCTGCCGCTGCTGGACGCCCCTGGAATGCTGCTTGCCTGGCTGCTGATAGGCCGATCCAGCTGCTTTAACCCTTTCACTGATCACCTCTGCAGCCAATGAAGTCAGAGGGAGGCCAGAGCTCCGCCCACTTGTTTTGGGGTAAAAGACTCGGAAAGTATGGATGTCGCAGGATTGGTTGGATAGAGGCGTCAGCAGGGCCGGGGATAAGGGGGCCCACCAGTCCTCCTGTACGGGGCCCAGGCCAGCAGAGGGGCCCAGGGAGCTGGGTGAATCTGGTGTGGGCAGGGAGGGTGATTGGTGGGGGAGGGGGGCAGTTCCTGGGAACCGATCCCCTATATGGATCTCTCTGCAGCAGCTGAAAGCCGACTTCTTCTCCTCTCCCTCCCGCTGGCAGCTGCTGCAGAGAGATCCACACAGGGGATCGGTTCCAGGAACTGCCCCCCTCCCCCACCCATCACCCTCCCTGTGCACCATACGTGCCCCCCCCCCCCCCCCCCCCCCCCAGTGCTGCTGGCTTCCCTCCTCTCCTTTCCACCGGCAGCACACAATAGGATCCTTCAGGATGGAGAGTGGGGGAAGGGCCCAGTAATTCTGTCACATTTACCAGCCTTTCCTGAATGAACACAATAGGT